CTTCGGAGTGGTAGTAAGATGATGAGGCTTCGGAGTGGTAGTAAGATGATGAGGCTTCGGAGTGGTAGTAAGATGATGAGGCTTTGGAATGGTAGTAGAACGATGAGTTGTTGGGGTAGTAGTAGAACGATGAGTTGTTGGAGTGATAGTAGAACGAGAAGTTTTTGGAATAGTACTAGTGTGACTACTAACGACCGTCCTAGTTGACGAAATTGTCTATTAAATATAAAAGATAAACATGATTTATTAGTAATTTAAAGGCAAATCAAGAGAATATTAAGTTCAAGAGACTTTGAGATGTTGATTTTTATAAATATTTTAATGAGAAATTGGGTTACGGTGATTGAATAATTTAATAAATGAAAAATACATATTATTAGACTTACACTTGCTACAGTAGTGATTGTATCAGTCTAAATAAATTTAAATAAAAAATTTTATTGATTAACAATCAAAATAAAATTTACAGATTTAGCAGTTAATGTAATACTAAAACAGTTAACGTATATTTGGTCATATGTTTGGACGATTGTTGCTCTAAATAGTGATTAGATATACCTGTAACAGAAAATAAATAAACGTCATTTACTTGATAACAGTAGAGTTTTCGATTATAGCTGATGGTGGATGCCATAGTGCTTCTATTGACGATTTATCAGATGCTGAGTTGTGAGTTATACCAGTATTGTCTATTCTATCACAGTTAAGTGTTTGAATATCTGAACCTAATGCTGACCAAGTTCCAATAATTTTTTGATTGGTTTTTGTTTTTGCTATTAATAGAATACCTCTAAATGTATCATAATTTGTTGAACCACGAACAGTAACTATGATTGGAAAAAAACATTATTTGACGAAGAAAAATTTTCTTAATTATACTCACTATGAACAGTGTCACTTGTAGAATATTGTACTTTGTCGGATTCAATTATATAGTTGGATGAACATGGTTGAGAAGAAACTTCGTGCTGAGGAACCATTGATGCGCATGTAGATGATGGTGCACCATATGGATAACCGTGTCCAGATTTAATAGAGACCGAAACGAAAATGAGCAAATGATAAATGAACGAATTCATCTAAAATAGATTCTTCAATGGCGATCAAGTCTTGCTCTTAAAATGTCATATGAATATAATCAGAGGTATAAAGCGATGCATTGATCAGCAGCAGCTGAAATTTTCTTAATTACGAGAAACTTTTATATGCAAAAATAGGAAAACAATGGTAGAGAATTTATTGACCAGAAATCATATGGTAACATCTTCAAAAACTGATTAGAGACGTCGAAAATTTTTAAAAATCAAACACCTACTTTTGTGTCGTGGTGACAGTAGGTTAGCCGATCAGCTTAGATCTCTTCATAAAATATGTAACAATCTTTTGTTCATTTATCTATCACAGTACAGTAGAATAAATTTTGTTGCTTTTCGATCAATAGATCATCTAGGCGATATTCTCTAAACCTACTATGATTACGCTTATGAATTTTTTTTCATCAGGGCTGGACGAGTCAAGCTATATTATTTTGACCCTTTTTTTCATTTTCTGTTTATTTATACAAAGAATATTAAACACAAGTTTTTCATGACACAATATCTAGTTCTTGGTCTTAATGCACGAAAAAAATTAGAGTAATACTACATAAAATAAAATGACACTATCACAAGAGAATACGTACAGATCTGGAACTGCCAGCACAGTTTGCTACTGAAATTTATTAGTGCTACTCATAGTACTAAAAAATAAGGTAAAATTTTAGACCAGAACTACGATTGAAAGTAATACTACTACAATTAGGTTTTTATGATGTAGAGAAGACTACTTGGAGACAAGAATGATTTTTTCTAAAATTTGACTAACAGTTTGTGTGGTTTAACGAATACGAGCCTGTAGATGGGTTATTAAAATCAGAGATATTTAGAATAAGCTGCTTCCGCATCTATGTACTCCGACTAAGAAAACTATACTAGCTAACACTCTAACTTGCACATTTCCGATCGAAAATGAATTCAGAAATTTCAACAAAACCACGTATAGATGCAGATTTGCCGATCATTTCAAACTCTTAATAAATTTTTACAAAAACTCGTTATTTTCTCTAAATAACTCATAATGAAAAAGTAATGACACACAATACCGATCGATATATTTCTTCATAGACACATGGCTCTGGAAAGATTTTTTTTACAATTCAATACAAAAATGTCTCCACTTTTGAACTATATATGACTTATTTTTGTTAGACATTCATCAACAGAACAGCATGAGAAGAAATAGAGACACGCTAAAAACAGTTCTGCACTTTTGTGCACTTCAAGATAGCACCACATAATATCGACTGTCAGTTCTCTTTTTTAAACAAATGTTAAAATGATAATTTATTTTTATAAGCTGAAGCAAAATTTCCTCTTGTTTATAATAGTATATAATTTGTATTTGTCATCCGTTCATAAATGAAATGGCACAAAGAAAAAAAAGAAATATCCGTACAACAAGTGTTTGATCTTATCATTAATTTATCTAAGAAATCCTGTATATCAACTAGAACACTAATTGAAGCAGTTTTGGTTTTATTGACAGAAAAGTGTATGCGAATAATTGAAAAACTAAAAATTTAAAGTTATTGGCCTCTATAATCAAACAAGAGATCAAATAACTTGGTAAAAATACATTACAGGCTATAGGTCATGGCTTTCCGATGAGTCTTCATTACATATAGTGTGGGAAACTGAATTTTGTTGTTAAACGAAGACTTTTTGTCCTTCATGTTTTTTCTAATAAGAAATCAAATTTCTGTTCTCTTGTAGTAATAGGTGGCAGTGGCTGATATATCTGCTATCATCTTGACATCATATTTCAGTTAAATTAAAAGATTTCTCCGATATATCAATAAAAAGATAAAAACTTTCTTGTACGAACGTTCTTGTTTCCTTCGTTTCATTTCGTTCATGACAACACATGACAGATACAAATTATTTGCTATTATAAACGAGAAAAAAAAGTACTATTAGCTGATAAAAACAAATTATCGTTCTAATACCTGTTTAAAGAAGAGATATAATAGTCAACACTTTATGTCGTTATTGTGAAATGTACAAAAAGTGCAAAACTATCTTTGAGGTGTCTCTATTTCTTCTCGTGGTGTTTTGTTTATGAGTGTCTAATAAAAATAAGTCGTATATAGTTCGCAAGAGAAGAACATTTCATATGGAAATGTAGAAAAATTTCTTTTCAAAACCGTGTCTATGAAGAAAATATAAGGGTTGACATTGTGTGCCATTACTTTTGCATCGTACGTTAGTTTTTTCTTGATCAAAGAAAACTATGTTTGAATAGTATTAATCTCGCTTATCTATGGCCATCATTTCCATCTTAATTTTCAAAACCATGAGCAGCGAAGTATCTTTTTAGCATCTGGGTGCCCTTCCAATGCTTAAGTACTTTTCCATCGCTGTCGAATATAATTTGGTGTTTTGACGCTGAATTTACCTCTTCATACAGCTACTACGAATTTACCAACAATAAAATCAGCCCGTCTTGTATGTCTTTTTAAAGCAGTAAAAAGAAACATCACCTTTAGAAACAAAGACTTGAGCTTTAAAATGTTTATAGTGGAGGAAGGTTACCTGTTACGGGTAATGGAATCACAGAAAGTTCGTGGATTTGATTCTTTCTTCAGAAAGTAGCTTTTTAGAGGAAATCATGACTCTCTTTAAACTGTGATCCAAGGTTTTCTGATTCCTCGACCCAAAAAACTTTTCATCGAGCTTTATAAGAAATCCTAATTTTCACCAAATAGCTATTTCCTGATGAAAATATCAAATCAACCAATTTTCTGTTATCTCGTTACGTGATAACTAGTAGCGGTAACTTACTAGTTCTAGCAGTGTACCAACAAAAAATATTTATTAACATTGAAATTAATGTCTAATTATACTTAATAGATGTTGAAAAAGGAAATATGAGCTTGTGAAAATCGTCAACAGCACGATCTTATTAAGTGACTACTGTGAAAAAGCACACACTCTAGTCATACTGATGTAGAAGGAAAATATATAATACTTCTAATAAGCTTGTTAAGAGATTGAGATAAATTAAGCTTTTTTTTTTATTTGACAGTAAAGTCACCGATTATGTTTTCTTTCTGCAGAAAAATATCTTTATTCTCTAAAATAATAATTTTAGTGCTAAATTGTAAATGTTTGCTTTCTTAAATCAATGACTCAACGTTATTCAATTTTCGAGTTCGAATCTTGATTCAGACTGACACATCTCTGTTTTCTCTTTAATATTTCAGTATTTCTCTCACACAAAAAAAAAACATTTATGATTCATTCCATAAGACCTTAGTGTTATATGTGATAACAAGCGATAAGAATAAAAAAAATAATCATAAGAATTTTTCTTTTAGAAAACAATAAAAAACAGATTTATCCATCGATCAAATGTCGTAAATTACCGGGGACATCCTTCTCTCTATTTTTCAATTTTTATCGAAAAAGATCTTTCTTTCTGACTTACATTTTTAAACAACTCTAATATACAAACACTGATAGAATCATCAAGTTACCTTTGTAAAAGATCAAAATTTCGGTCAAGAATAACTATAAGAAGACAAGCCAGCCAATGTAGAAAATATTATCTGTGTAACAAGAGAAAAATAAAATATACTTTCCATGCATGTCCGGATTGTTTTACAAACGATTTATGCTCTGTCGATTACAATTTAGCTAAATATATAGCTTTTTTTCATGGCTTTCTTCTTTTGCGTTCTGTCCTTTTAATCATTTTATCTCGAATAATCCTTAATTAGCAATTGTGAATATCACGTTCTTTTGAATGTATGCATACACATTTATAATCCATTATATAATGTACTTTTAGCCAACATTAGACACGATAATATTTACAATAAACAAAAACGATTCATTTAAAACGAACGATGTGGCTTATAAAACCACTATACTTCAAATTTTCTTCCTAGGAATGCATTTTTTTCTTCATTCTACATCATATAATATTGCGATAACAGAAAAAAATATCTGATTCATATGTAGCAATAATAATAACAGACTCATTTTTCAAGCAATAATATCATTGTCACATGCCTAAGACACTAGTCAATGATGTTTTTTTTTTTTTTGTTGACTGACTTTTCTTCTCCTTTTTGCGCTTTTTTTATCCGCTTGAACAGGAGAAACAAAAAGATAGAAAATACAACATAATCAATGATAAAATAAAGCCTCCGACACATTAGAAGACTCAAGGTCTTCTATTTTGTCTTATAGTTCATAAGTTACAAGGGGGGGGGGGGGTCTTCTAATATGTCCCTTAAAAAAAGCTATTTCTTGACAATATCGCCAACAAATTGTGGTTCTAGTCAATTTCTGTTCAATATACTGTTAGTAAACGAGTTTATTTTATTTATTTCTCGTGCGTAGAGTGAGAAAGAATCATATATTACCCTGTGATAAGGAAGAAGATCATCGTTAGTAAGAAGTGTTCTAAGAACAGTACAAGCAATACTCTCAAACATCTTGGTACAATGTCCAATAGAATTATTTTTTCTAAAGAATTCTATTGTCACTGTCAACATTTTACCTTCTATATAACTAAATAA